GGGGTTGTAAGAATTTTTAAAATATATATATTTTTAAAAGGCTCGTGCTTATTAAGGATGCATTTATTTAATCAAAGATACAGTAAACACTGTAAAATTGAGAAATAATATTTACAATTTAGGCTACAGCTGTTTTCTATTTAAATATATTTTAAATTGTTATTTATTCCTGTGATGGCAAAGCTGAATTTTCAGTAGTCATGACTCCAGTCTTCAGTGTCACATGATCCTATATGCTCAATCTAATATGCTAATATGGTGCTCAAACATTTCTTATTATTATCAATGTTGTGTAGCTTAATATTCTCATTGAAATGAGATATGTTTTTTCATGGTTTTTGAAGAAGGTTCAAAAGAACAGGATTTATTTGAAATTGAAATCTTTTGTAACATTATAAAATGAGTTGTCACCTTTGATCAGGTTAATGCATCCTTAGTGAATAAAACTCCAGCTTTTGAACAGTAGTCTATGTAACTCGGCATTTTGTGATGATCATATTGAGAGGAGTTTGATTTATTTTAGAGATGCACCGATTGCATTGCAATTTTCTTGGCCATTTCCGATTTCCGTTTTTTTTTTTTTTTTTGTGCCCTGCCGATATCTTGCTGATTCCGATTTTCTTTCTAAGAACTATAATTGATAGGATATACAAACAAAAATCTACCTTTTTTAATGCAAAATAATTATTTACATAATAAAATAAATTATTAAACATTACAATTCCCCCAATCTGTACTAAGATACAGATGTTCTCTCACTTAAACAACTCTGAAAATAAAGTGCTCTGTAACTGGAAAGTGGTAGAAATAATTAACTGAAAATTAGTTGCTGTATGTAACAAAACAGAACTGTTACCATTCAGATGAAATCAGTATCAACAAACTCAATATTGCCACTGCAGGAAACACAGAAGTTGCATAGTGACATTAGATGTATTTACACTTTTTGAGCATACAAATAAGAAATGTTGGGAGAAATGCAATGATACTTTTAAATATGAAACCAAACCACCAGTAGGTGGCGCCAAATGTTTTAATGAGTGAGTCATTTAGTTATTCGTTCAACTGATTTGTTCAAATAGCTGATTCATTCAGAAAGGAGGCAAGTGACTATTTATGAATGGGTTACTGAATCATTGACTCACTCGATTTGTTCAAACACCAGTGTGTTGCTCGGAGACACACAACAGTTCTAATGTGGCTTTGATTGGAACAATTTTCTTTGCAAAATTGAGCAAAAACAGTCAATATTGTGTGTAAAATGTAAGTAACTTAATTTTAACTTGTTAAATTGAGCAGCTTGTATAAAATCAGTGTCACATTGCAACCGTGTTGATATTCGGGGAAACATCTTTGTCGTGTAATGTTGCTTACCTATATCATATATTGTGAAAATATATATTTTTTTCTACCGCAGTATGTATCTATAACTTTCTTTAGTTATTTTGTGTGCTGATGCGCTCATTTGTTTTGATTTCTGCACGAGTCTCTCTTTTTTTTTTCTTTTTTAACGAGTCTCTCTCTCACACATCAGACAGGCTACGTGAGCCTCGTCTGACACGACATCAATACATCACCATTTACACTGAATCCAATAAAATTAGAATCATTCTCGCGCGAAATTGTTTTGTGGCCAAGTTTCATTGCTTCCCTAGTTATTTTTGTTATTGACGTTTTAACCAGGCCTCTTTGTCCGGTCGGCCAAGTAAAATTCTCTCTCACTTGCCCCTTTAACCTACTTATCCCAAACAAGCGTTAATCAAGCCCTGTGGTTCCCCCACGGTTTACTTTGGCCATACACGTATTACAAATTGTGAACTTTGTGTCTTCTTCTCTCACAGTGAAGAACTTCCACGCCGCCGACATATTTACATGCGGATGTGAGTGTAGGTGTGACGTCAAAACTGCCCGGCCCGGAATCGACAGACTGACCGGTGTTGTGACGAATTCTGCACCCCTGCCAGATTATGTAGTCCGGGCCAATCATATGGAAAATCGGCTAATTCTGGTCCCTGGCCGGTCGATCGGTGCATGTCTAATGTATTTGTCTGAGCACACAGAATGATGCACTTTAACTTACTGTCAATATGTGATTTTAAACCTTCAAGAATTTGTTAGGCAGAGCATGACACGCTATTACACCTGTAATGACAGCTTCTGACCAGCAGGTGCCTCCCTTCCTCGATAGCTGCAACAACCTGTGTGCTCAAATATGGATATGTGCAGGAGTAGAACGGCTTATTAGATGGTGTATGAAGATTGAGCCGTCAGCAGATATGACTGACAGCTGCCCTTAGGTGGTATCTCAGATGATTATCGGGTAATGATGTGCTGTGACACCCAGACAGAAGCAGCAACAGTTGCTGTGGGAGATGGTTATCTGAGGTCTGAGACAGCACGTTTAGTTCACACACGGCAAATAAATATACAGACAGGTTTTGCTTGTGTTCCTTGTTTGCGTGGTGACTCACACTCCCTCTCATTCCTCCCACTCCTGCACTCAGAGATGGAGTTCTAAATATAATCTGCTTGTCTGGTTTATGAAATGCTAGTCTAAAACCCTTCTATCTCAAGACTATCAAACCACTGTGCATTTCTTGTGTTGAGCAGTGAAACATTAGCAGCCAGAGAGACTCTAAGCAGCACCTTTACCATATATGGCAGATGGAGCTGCAGATGCACGCATGGTTATTCACCTAACGGCTCTTTGGTGAAGCATCTGCATAGAGCAGACTTTTGTGTGCACATGCATATCGACAGAGGCAGAGTGAGTAAGTGTTTGTGTGGGTTCAGGTGTGGGGGAAGGAAGTGTACAGTGGGTGTGTGTATGTGTATGCATGTGTGAATCCACATGTTGTTTCTCAGTAAACGCTTTTTTAGTTTCTGTCGCCAATTACATCTCTTATAGCTCAGAGCATCCCTTTATGTTAAAAATTCTGGGTACAGTTTTTGTGGTGGCAGTCAAATTGACCTTAATTGCACTCAGTACAATTCACCACAAATCACATGAAAAACAAAAACCTTTTACTTTAATGATACATTAATACTCATGTTACAATTTTGTTTTATAAAGCATTTTAAAAAGGAAAAGTGTTGAAAAGCACTTCTGTGCTTGACTCGAGCTCAATCAGTAGAGCATGGTAAACTGAACATTCATGAGCTGATAAAAATGTACGCATTTAATGCAGTGCAAGTTTCTTCAGTTAAATGTGTCTCCTAATGGATAAATGTAAATGCCCTCAGAGGGTAGTTTAGGAACTGACATAATACTTCGGGTCTGAAAAAAAATCAGGTTTGAAGAGCTATGAAATGTATGTAATTGGATGTAAAAAATCCTAATCATAATAGAAATTTTGTATGCACATTCCATAATGCATTACTTTGCAGGCCTTGAAACTCATGAACTCGTGACCCTAAAAAAGAAAAATTTCAAGAAGAAAATAAAAGGTTAACCAGTAATTCAGAAAAAGGAAAAAATCAGGAAAAATTCAGCCCACAACACTGCAACATAATGTAAGGGTTTTAACCTTCTTTCTTTCTTTCTTTCTTGACAAATTTCAGTTTTTCTTTTGCGTTTTGTGAAACAGAAACTATGAAACTGAGAGCATGGCTGTGTGTAGGCTTGCATGTTTCTCTATGCGTGGTAGATGCCGTAAACAGCTCAGTCTGAGATAGGTCTATCAGTCATCATAGGACAAAAAAATCTGTTGAGGTCCAAACCACACGGGCAGCATTCAGACACACACACACACACACACACACACACACACACACACACACTCACTCACTCACCCACTCTCACTCACTCACTCACTGTTTGTGGCAATGGCATCACACTCTGATCGAAGGGATCCTTCTCTCTGTCACATCAGAGTTCAGAGACATACACACCCTCACACTTTCCCCCGGCAAAAACACGCGTACACACACGCACACTCTCTCACACACACACACACACACACACACTCACACACACTCACAGACACACACACACACACACACACACACACACACACACACGCACACTCACACTCACACTCACTCACTTACTCACATACTCACTCACACACTCACTCACTCACACGCTCACTCACTCACTCACTCGCTCGCTCACACACTCACTCACTCACTCAATCACACACTCACTAACTCACAGACACACAAACTCACTCACTCACAGACACACACTCACTCACTCACTCACTCACTCACTCACTCACTCACTCACTCACTCACACACACACTCAGACACACGTACAGCTGGCTTGAGGATGTTTATGCTTGATGTCCTCCCCATAGGAAACAGTGTGTGTTTGTGCATATAATAGTAACTTTGCTCATGGGTTGGTGGGGGAGTTGAGAGGATGTTAGCTGTTTAAATGGGCAGATGAGGTGTCTCTCTTTTTCCTGCTCTCAAAGCTTAATATGCAGAGATGTTGACTGATACCTCCAAAAAGTGTAAAAACTATAGCTTTGAGGCAGGTTTAATCTCTCTGTCCAGCCCAACACAGTGAGTGTGAGTTTGGAACTGGATTATATGTTTGTCTAACGAATGGCCAACAGAGGGAGTGTTTGGGATAATATAGTTGCATATTATTCGTTTCAAATGGATTCACAGCACCTTAAAGGAACAATCCACAAAATAAGTATTCTGTCTTCATTTACTCACCCTCATGTTGCTCCAAATCTATGGGACTTTCTTTCCTTTCTTTTGTGCAACATAAAAGAAGATTTCCTAGAAATTATTTAATTTTTTGTCCATGCAATGAAAGGAAAAGGTGTGTACATGCCAATGACCGTATGTTTTCAAGTTATTGGTTGATTCTGATCTGCATATATGATAGGTTTTTGCGTCAGAGGAAGCATGCTTTGTCAGTAGAATCATGCTGCTGTCTGTGATTTCCCCCCCCCTCACCAGCTCTCTTTTTGACCCGCCCACTCTCTTAGGACATACTGCATGCTCTCTCTTTCCCCATCCCCAACCTTCTTTCTGTCTCCGTTCTCCTCTTCCCCCCTCTCTCTTGCTTTCTCTAAAAGTTTCTGGTGAGGAAAGGAGAAGACGTTTGGATGATTTTGACTCCTCCATCAGGTTGTACATTTACATGACTCTTCTCTTTTGAGAGCTTGATTTTGAGGTTTAGTTGATCTGGAGTTGTAGAGTGCAGTGCTGTGTCCTTTAGACTGTGATTTGTGCTAACGGTGCACGTGTGTGAGTGAGACGTGAGGGGTATTAGGGGAGTCTGGTGATTCTCAAATCATCTGTGGCTTAGTTACAGTGACTCTAATCTCATTGCTGTCTGATTCTGTCATCAGCTGTTGCTGCTGTAGTTTAACAGCATTGTGTTGTATCGTCCTGTGGTTTGTAGTTGTTTAAAGCCAGGTGTCGTAATCTGTATTATATTTGTTTCAGAGAGAAAATAAGATATTGCAGGCTGCTGTTGTTAGCAGAACTCTTCCTAGCCTTGTGAGTGAAACTCTAAAAATAGTGCACTTATGCATGCACCCTTGTGTTTGTGTATGTTAATAACAGTGGTGGACAGTAACGAAGTAGTTTTACTTCGTTACTGTACTTAAGTAAATGTTTCAAGTATCTGTACTTTACTGGAGTAGTTTTATTTTGAGTAACTTTTACTTTTACTTCACTACATTCCAAAGCATAAGATCGTACTTTTTACTTGACTACATTTCATAAAACTTATCATTACTCATTATAATATATCACGTGCTCCGAGACGCAGAAGCCGTGTCTGATTCATGAACGAACTGATTCTTTTCAATGAACCCGTTAAATTGGTTCGCAAATCGCACCAAACGATTCATTCACGAATTGGAATGATCCGATTGCAGCTGTTCTCGAGTCGACAACTCACTGATTCAAATGATCCGTTTAGTGCGAGTCTCCAGTGAACTGAATTCACAAGTAACAACCGGGAGATCTTGTGAGCGCGCGCGCGCACGCGTCTGATGCTGTTAAAAGTAAGTTACTAATGTCGAATTTTAGGATTAATTATTGTAACTGAAAATCATATTTAGGTCAAAACTGTCAGTTGTTTGTGAACTAAATCTGCTGTAAAGGGTGATCTATTTAAGCCCACTGAAATGCTTGA